GTTGGTCTTTGAGCGGTTGCTGGCCCAATAGTACCTGTTGATGTGCTGCGAGGTAGCGTCTGTAGTGGAGGCACCGGCACGGAGGAGGAGGAGGATGCTGACGGGTGTGGTACAGGGTGTGGCAACGCAGGTGGTGGGTGATGGTAGGGGCAACAAGGAGCTGTGCCTCAGAGGACAGCGTTGGTGGCGGCCGCCTTGATGAGTCAAGGCTTGGGCTCGCTAACTCAGCCCCGGGGTTTGCCGAGGTCAAGCGTGCTGCTGCAACGGCAGGTGCAGGGTCGCCAGCAGCACCATCAGCTGCAGTTCTTTCATCGCTATTTCGTTTTAATAAATCTTTAGACCTTTTGAGCCAATTTCTGATGTCCATTTTGTAATTCAAACAGAAATGGGAGTCTACAGAATGCACAATAAACAAATCCAGAATAGGCGGCAGAGTGTGACGCTGTGATTGGTCTAAATGTGGACGAATCACAAATCACAACAGACACATGCCTTTATTTGACGTAGCCTGCGATTTTTTGTTTTAGTAGCCTACTATCTGACATCACATACATCGTAGCATAAAAGTTCACAGTTTATTTATAATTAAAACAATTAAAATTAAAATATTTTTTAAATTTTTATAAATAATAAAATCGTGTTTATTGGGGGAGGGCAGGAATGTCAAATGGGAGGGCCTGGCCATCCCTGGCCCTCCCACGGCGCCGGGCATGGTTTTATGTGTGTATCTTGTAAGTAGGCTTGTTTGAGACACATTGCGGCTCGCCTCGAAAGTAGACGAGAGTAGCCGATCGCAGCCGGGGGAGGTGTCAAAAAGCTCGTCTTAAGTCGGACAGCTCGGAGTCGGAGTCGGCTTGACTCGCTGGGTTTGCAATGGCGGAAATTGCGTTGGCGTTTTTCGTTGCAGATGAAGTGGATACAATAGAAATCCCACAATTATTATATCACTACAAATGAATGACTTAAGTGTCAGTTCATTTTGAAACAAATCAGTACAAGGGGGGTTGAATACATGTAAAAGACAGAACCACTTATTACTTTTCAAAACTACTTCCGTCAGTGGTCTTGACAAGTTTGCATTTATAAAGAATGCACAAATGTGTATATTCGTTAATGTCAGATATGTACTAAGTAAATGCATTTGTTCCTGCTCAAGATTAGATTCAACTTTATTGTTATTGCACATATTACAGGTACTGAGACAACGAAATGCAGTTTAGCTTCTAACCAGGTGCAACAAGCAGTAAAGTGAAAAGTAATGTACACAACCTACAGAATAAAAATGAATTGAATGATGAATAAACAGTGAGGGGTATGAATACACTAGATATCAGCCTGTGAGCAGCATGAACAGTGTGTATGAATATGCTAAGATATATAAAGTATGAAAACGGTAAGCAGTATAGTATAAAATATATAGATATTAATTTCATGATGATAAACATTGTGGAACAATGATGAAAATGGGAATGGATGTGGCGACGTAAAACTGACACAAAACAACAACAAACTTTTGCCAGCCAATTGGAGAGTTTCATCAGCAGCACGTGGTAAAAACCACCAATGAGCGGTCAGCTCGAGATACCAGCGAGACGTTTCCCATCAAGCATTTCGCTTCTGCAGCCCGTGGAGAGCAACTGCGCCAACTCGCCTCGCCTCGCTCTCAAGGCTGCGGGCGTCTTTGTCCCGCGAAATTTCAAAGTCTCATGTGGGCGGGCCTCCAGAGCAAGTCGGACAAAATGACTAACCATCATGCAACGCACTAGCAAGACGTTGATCGCAACTGCGCAGGTCTGCGCAGGTCTTGCTTGTCTCAAACAAGCCTAATATATTTGAATGTATGTTGATATAACGGTTCATTCTTCGGGCGCGCGCAGCACGTTCACAGCCTCACAGGCATAGATTGCGCAATATTTTATTGCGCACCAAGTGCAGGCATATTGTCATTCAAGAGAGAATACGATGCGTAGTTCTTTTGGAAAACATTGTTTTGTTTGCCTATTTACCTCGTTAACGTAAATAATACTCATTACATTGAAAAATGCATTATTTGTGATCAAAATAATGGTTGTTGGTAATGTATATTAGCGACCCCCACATATGTTTGATTTCATTGGGTCCGTGGGAGCTCAGGCACCTACTTATGGGAGCTCAGCTCCCATTGGCTCCCACGTAACTCGAACCCTGCTTGTTAGATGCTTTTATCCAAAGCGATTTACATACTCAATACTGTGGGCAATCCCCACAGGAGCAATTTGAGGTGAAGTGTCTTGTCCAAGGACACAACGACATGCTGACTGCAGTGGGGTTTGAACCTGTGACCCCGTGATCCCAACACCAAGGCTCTATCCACTGCCCCACATGCCTCCTTTTATCAAGTGTTTCCTCAAATTGAAAGATAATTTTTATTATATTAAACGTTTTTTTCTCAGGCCTCACACTTGTTAAATGCTTTAAATAAAACCAAAACTTAGCCTATCATTTTAAATGTCACACTGATATGAAATGCACCTGGGCTTATTAAGACCTTAAATGACCTCTCGCTGTGTTGGTTCATAAGTAAACACACACCACCAGCTCTTTCTATTAAAATCATACGAGGTCTTTGTTGTTCAACATACAAAATCTGATCCCCTCGTCCCTCTCATCCATTATTCAGCGGGGAAGCTGCTCCTCAGAGAAATAATACTGCAAATTCTGCAAATCCATAACAGAGCCCTCCAGCATACCCACGCATCAGCTGGATGTCTGTCCGTCCATTCTGTGGCTCTCAGTTAGTTTGAAGGTGTTCACACCCAGATAACAATGATTACATGAATGTGTGATGTTTACTTATTCCTAAAGTGATACCTTCCATGAGGAATGGCTGCTAAAACAAGCTGATTATACATACATTATTGACAGATTACGACCCTTAAGGCAGATTTAAACCTCCATGTCAAAGCATCAGTGTGCCTCTGTGCAGGTGCCTGCTTTGGGGAACTAGAGTCTCCCTGAATTAGGTATACAGTTGGGTTTCAAAGTTGAAGGTAGGTCACGAGGGATTAAATCTACAATCATTGACTACATCATGTCTTAAATACCTGAAAAAAAGTTTTACTTCACCCCAATGCAATGATATTATTCAAAGCAGGACTGCTCCTTGATTTCAACTACCTGAAATGGTCTACAACCATAACTATTAAAAGGGTAACTTTCTTTATATAAACAGTGAAAACATTTGAATTGACTAATTTGTATTGACTCATTTCACAATTGTGAGCCTTACTGAGAATTTGTGTACCAGACCAGTGACTTAAAGTCCCAGCAAACATGTTTTCATTTATATCTCCTACTGTAAAGCCCCGTAAACACAATCATTTGTGATATTGGGCTGTATAAATACATTTTGATTAATTGATTGACTACCCCCGCTCAAGATAAAGTTGGGCAGAACTGCGTATTTTTTTTCAGCAAAGTAAATGTGCCAGTAAAAATGTTAAAGTTGTGAGTTGTATCACCCAAGCAGTAGCAAAAAGGAGTAACTTTTTATACAGCCTTTTTCATAGGAGACGTTTTGAATTGTGTTGGTACGAAGAGCACTAAAAACTTCAACAATATTTTCTGTGAAATAAGCAAGCACAGTCCTGAGACAAAGTAAATCAAAAAACATGAGGGTGTGTAATGGGTGTGTATAGCCCCATCAGGTCCAATGATTCAAATAAGATATTACAGTGACAGCCTATGGGTGGAGTTTTCCCATTTCATCCACAACACACCTTGGTAAAAATGTGTTGTTTATGTTTTGCTTACATCTGCCGTATAGGAGTTTATCCAATAAGCCGTGTCAGCTGGTTGTCTGCAGATGTTTATTATCCTCTTTAAAGACACAGGATCACATCTGGCTTCCTTGAAACGACTACAGCATTATAGAGTACACGGTACCTGTGTGCAGAACATAATAGACCCTCTTCCAGGCATGTTGGCATATCAAAGCAGGAAAGCACAGTTGTATAAATTCACATTAAAAGGCTCCATTGCATTAAGTGTCTGAGTAGGCCATTTCTTATCAGCATGAACAAAACAGACACCGCTACTGCAGCCGTCTTTAAAGTTATTACTTTCACCTGTGCTTTTCCTGCTTTGGCAAGTCAAAATGTCTCCCTTGAATGAAAAGGGTCTATTCAAACATGACCTTACCATGCTACAGCCAAACAGATAGGGGAAACAAAAGGGGAATCGGCAGAGAGAGAAAGAGAGGAGATTGTGTGTAGGTGAAGAAGAATTGATCCTGGAGATTTTGAATCTAGATACCGTCAGTCGCTTTTTGTCTTGCCGTTCCTGCAGGTCACAATCTGTTTTGTACAACATGGCAGCCCTTTGGCCCTGACATCCTGTGGTATAATATATATAATCTGTAACCTCTGAAGCTGTAATCACAAATAGCAGCTATCAACACCTCTCAGCCATCTTTATACTAGGAGGTTATGTTTCTCTGCTGATAGTTGCTGCTTCTGTCAGCAGTGAATCATACTCTATTAATAGATTTCCATGAAGTTTCTTGGACATCAAGGCCCAAGTGTGAGGAACAATTGATTTGTTCTTGCTGCTGATCCGAATCTGGGATTTCCGCCATTAAAAGATGTATTTCTGCCAATGACAAAACTAACAGAGGCCTTGACTGGATTCCCAGAAACAAGAAATCAATTCAGCTCAAAAATGTAATTGACTGCAAGTAAGTCATTTTTGTTGATAGAACAAAACCTTTGGATCTACTAAGAGTTAGTCCTTGCGGGACCATTATCGTCACCCAACTCTGATGGCTTGATTTGAACCTTTCACCCGTGTTAAAACGTAACGTCCTCCCTAAATATGACGTGTATATTGGCCTCTGACCTGCCAATAGGCCGTTGGAGGGCCTTACGTCAATATGTACTAAAGCAGGGCTGACTTAATCATGCTAATGTGTGGATACATGCATGTGTGCTTATGTGGGGGATGTGCGTGTAAGCATCACTCACCAATCTCACAGTTCTCTCCAGTGTATCCCTGTGGGCAGTAGCAGCTGTAGCCCGTTCCCTGTGGAAGGCACTTTCCTCCGTGCAGACATGGGTTTGTCACGCAGGGCTCCAATTCGTCTACAACAGACAGACAGAAGGATGTGGGGTGTAGGGGGATGTAAAAAATGGAGCTAATTAGTGATCCTGTTAAGGAAAAACGTTTTTTCTTTATGTAAATGGGAACACAAACAGGTGAATCCAAGCTGTATTTATAATTGGTGAATATCCCTCACCTCTCCATAGATAAATAGGCATGACACAACAAATAAAATCACCCTAATTTCCCTTCATTGCCGCTCAGCCACCAGCTATAGTTAAAACACGCATATCCATTTCACACTGTCTCTTTTCAAAGAGATCAGGAGCCTCAACCCCGCCATCCACTCACAGCCACAGTTGTCATGGTTACCATATGGAAAGCGAGGCCTTGGCTCACTCCAGCGAGCGTAGTGGGCAGCGTGAGAACTTCAGACCTTAGCCATCCTCAACAGAAACGAGCAGACCTCCTGCTGAGTGCCTCGGCCCCGCTATTCAGCCCCTAAATGTGTGTGTGGTCTCCTTCCACAATTACACATTTCCATATCAATTGACACACTACCACGTGTTTCTCCCCTGAGCCGCTCATTATAGCAACCTACGGTCTTTGAAAACCACCACTCGTTCATCCTGGCCACAAAAAGGCTTGGCTGTGGGAGTCTTTGTTCGGTCAGGTTTTTCCGTCACTGAGGATTGCTTAGGAGGGGGTGGTGTGTGGGGTTGACATTGTGTGTGTGTGTGTGTGTGTGTGTGTGTGTGTGTGTGTGTGTGTGTGTGTGTGTGTGTGTGTGTGTGTGTGTGTGTGTGTGTGTGTGTGTGTGTGTGTGTGTGTGTGTGTGTGTGTGTGTGTGTGTGTGTGTGTGGTGTGTGGAGGTTGTGGGTTTGTGTTTACACGGTACATTGAGCGAGAATCTGTCTCTGATTAGCCTGCAGGTTGATCCTGTCCAATAGCTACCCAGAGGCAGACATTTCAAGCTCACACTGTCTGAATCACCGTGATGCCGGCTGCTATGTTGCACGAAATGAATGTAAATACAAAAATAAAGGATTGAGGGTTTTCAATCCCACAAGAAAGATTTCTCAATAGCGTCCAAAGATTTATGTTGAGTTTTGCGAGCTAATCCACGGCTCGTGGTTTGAATTTTGCTGAGGTCAGGTGATAAAGCCAACCATGCATTTCATTTAATGTACATCAGTTCAGGCCGAAGTGCACTCGCACCCTCTGCTTCAGTCAAGGGCATGGCACGCCTTGACAAATACCAACTGTTATGATAAGCAGATTTACTACTGTGTGTGTGTGTGTGTGTGTGTGTGTGTGTGTGTGTGTGTGTGTGTGTGTGTGTCTGAGTATTTGTGATAGATAAACCTTGTACGATTGGCCGTTCATTAAAGCTAGTGGTGCAGAAAAATCAATAGTCCGTGGAAGAAGCTGACGGAGTGGACTGTCCCTCGCTCTGCACAGCCGACACCACCGGCACCAACAACAACAATAAACCGGCAACAGCAAAATCTAACTAATACGTTTACAGAAATAGGACAGGAAGGGGATAATACGAGGAAACGCTGAGAAACCTCAAAGTAATAATCCACACTTCACACATTGCTTCGAGTAATAACAGCCACGAACAAGGTGGAAATGTAGTTTACTTTGGAAATATGATTTTCAGAAAAGTGCTTTCACAGGTGGCGTTGGCATTTCTGTTAGAGAATGAGATCACATAAAGGAAGTCAGAAACAAAGAAACCGTCTACCATTTAAATGTTAGAGGAAGATTGAGTGATACAAATCTCTTTTATATGGTCTGACAAGGGAAGAGAAGTTGAAAGCATTGTGTGTATTCGTGCAGTGTCTGCATCTGTTTGTTTGAGAACAATTTGCTTTGCTATTAAAAGGTCCTTGAATCTAACCTGAGGCCATTCTTTTTTTCCCACTCCTCTCGCATTGATTGAACTGACTGATGAAATGCTCCCTGATCCAGTCAGGAGAGAAAACACTGACAACAACCATGAATCCCACAAGGGACTGAACTGAAGCCGAGTGTGTGCAAAAAAAGAGGGAGGGAGATGTAAGCCATTACTCTGGTCCAATCTCCTGCCAGCGCATCCATCCACTTATTGTGTTTGTGTAGCAAAGATGTAACTGTGTGTTTGTGGCCTTCTGCATGCATGACTCCAGGGTGTCAGTCAATCAATCAGCCCTCATAATGTACCCCAGGAGCGCAGATGGCTACCCTCGGCTTCTTGTCGATACAGTTTACAGCTGGGGGAGCAAAATAAATCAGCATAGAAATGTGCGATAGCATGATGCCTTCAGGGCTTTCAAACACTGGCTGATAGGATGTTCCCTGTATGAGCTCTCATTATCAAGCGAAAAATAAGTAAACCAGGTGGCCAGCCAGGAGCTTCACTCAGATATACTGAGCTGCAGACTTAATCAACAGATTGTGAACGGTGGCGGGGAGATGGTCTCTGCTTTCGTTGGAAAATAAAAGCTGTGCAGCCGAGGGAATACACAATGAGATTTTTTGAATAAATATGCCATTGGCAAGGTCCAGGGAGGAAATGAAATGTGATTTTAAAGGATACTTATATTTATTTACAACTTGGGTCTTATTTTCATCAGCCTTCATTCCTATCATTTATGATAACGATGTACATTTCAATGTATTTCATCTGCAACCAAGTGAGTCCAAGGAAGGAACACAAACAGTCAGGCGATCAAACATCAAGACTGTTGAATTACTCAACAGCAGAAGTTGTTGTTACACCACTGTACCTGTGGTTACTTCTGGGAGCCTCAGCTCTGAGATACAATTAGTTAATTCTGTGTCCCCCTATTTCCAGTCTTTGTGCTCAGCTAAGCTAACCAGCTACTAGCACTAGCTTTGAAATCTAATGATTAGACAAGACAGGAGTCCATCCTGTGATCTTATTCTACTTATTTTACTAACAAACCAAAATGGCAAATGTTCCCTTCAAGAAGCAGTCAACCTCTAATTTGGAGTTACTTTGACCATCAACAGCTAGCTTCAATGCATCCTTATACAAAGGTTTGTGGTGGTACGAAAAACTGCCTTATTTTCTGTCTACATTTTATCTAAATGAGTGCAGAATCATAACACAACAAATAAGTACACATTAGACTTGGGCCACAAACAGCGTCCCACTTGGGAAGATTCCTGTGTTTTTTGAGCAGTCGATCCATTTTGCACTCCTCAGTATGCAGGTATCGATGCTTATCATTCTACTTCACCTGAATTCACCTCTCAACGTCCTTGGTAACAATTACATGGACTACATACCAATTGATTACATGGGTTTTATATAAATAAAAATGTATTACTTTTTGGTGGTAAAATTACGATCATTGAATCTGCTAGCTTAGCTGCAATTCCAGGCCTAACAGTAAAGCAGTGGGGTCCACATATTGTTAATATTCTCAATATAAAGATGGTCAAAACAACAAAAATAAGACGTTAGTCAAGTTATCAAATCAAAAATGTGCTTCAAATATTTACAATGAATATTACAGATTCATGGACGCACCATAGGATGCCAAATCACCTGAGGACAGAGAGACACTACTAACCTGAGGGGCTGAGGGTCATATTGCTGATGTTGACTCCCCCTCTGTTACTTTCCTCCTCCATGTTGCCAGGTAACAGGGCCCCTGACCCCACAGTGTGAGACCAGGCGGGCTCCTCCATGTCTTGGGGTCCTGACAGTAATGTAGGATAATCCAGAGAGCTGTTCACAACGGCTTTCTCCACCGGGACCCAGTGAGACGAGGACAGAGGGTCAGTAGAGCTGTCCTGGCTGTCTGAGTGAGTGGATGGAGCGGGGTCTCCTGATCCGGTGGTTTGAAACGGGGAATCGGAACGAGGGGATGAAGGTGATGTGGAAAGGAATGGGGTTTGGGAATTGGCTGGAGGTGAGGAAGTTGGGGATGGGGAGGAGGAGGGTGATTGAGATTCAAACAGGGAACGAGCTGGGGATGGAGATGGAGATGGGGACGCAGTAACAGACTGAGACGGGGAGGGGGATGGGCTTGTATCTGTTGAGCTTGATGGAGAGGTGGACGGGGATAAAGAAGATAAATCAACAGTTTCAGTTGTTGTCATCCCCAGAGGACCAGCAGTAGTGGTGGGAGTTGCTGTGGTAGTGGACTGTCCCTTCCTGTGGCCCCTCTCTCTAGATCTTTCTCTGGATCTTTCTCTTGGTTTGCCTGAATCCGCTGGTCGACGTGAAACTTGTATCTCCCCTTTTGCTTCTACGCCACTGATCTCTCCACTCCCTTCTTCTTCTCCTTTCCCCTTCTCCTCTCCTCTGCTCCTGTCCTCTCCTCTGTTCTTCTTCCCCCTTCCTCTGCCTCCTCTGCCGCTGCCTCTGGAGGTCACCGTCTCCTCCCTCTTGTAACCCGGCTGGGTTGTGGTCGCTGATTCAACGCGGACCCAGGTTTCCCCGCTGGATGAGTTGATTCTGGGTGCAGAGCTGGAGGCGGTGGACGTGAGCATCTCTGAAGTCTCCCCTCTCTTTTTGCTCTCTGTAGTCTGAGAGTTACTGGAGGCGTCCAAAGTAGATGCCAGACGAGTGGGCGATTCTTCACTGGCTGGTGTAGAGTTTTTGCTCGAGGGATCGCTGAACCATGAACTTCCCCAAGAAAACAAACCTGCTGAGGTCACAGAACAAACAAAAAAGAAAAAACAGAGTGAAGTCAGGGGATGAACAAAGCAAAAATCCTGTATTCCTGCATATCCTGCATTCCCTCTGCTTTGCCAAGGGAGACAAAACAAACACTTCTAAGCTGTCTGAGCTGCCCGTCAGCTGTTTGTGTACCAGCAGCCGTCTACACTTCAATATGATCAGCATGCAAACCTGCGCACACTGCGAAGAAACTACTGTATGTTAAACATTATTATCACAAGGATAAATGCAACCAGAGAACACTGTATTTACGGATGAATAAACAATGGGAGCGAGATAAGTGAGAATTAAATTGTTTGCCAATTAGCAGCAGAAGGTGCTACCATTATGAATGTATGAGTAAGCTTTCAAAACAATATCACGCCGCCTACATGACACATCAGAACCACTGTAATGACCTGTTTCTGACTCATGAATGCTGTTCATGTCAGCATCAAAGTTGTAATTACAGCAAATTAACTACCATTTATTTCTGAAACGTCAGATATGTTCGACTTGATGCTTAAAATGTTCATTTAAAACAGCCACCGTTAACTACAGCAGATAAATAATGAGGACAAAACTGAGATGGATGAAGGACCAAAGCCTCTTTAAAAAAACACACTAAAGCAGAAACTAAAGACCACCACAGCCTCAGAATGTAATGAATAAAGATGGAAAACAGTTTTAACAAACACCAAGCTTCATCCACAGCCAGCCAAGACCTGAAGAGCTGCTGAACCACTTAGACACAGGAAAGAGTACAGACTGATGGGATGGATTTCACTTCTTAAATTCTGCCTGTTGGAAGGAAACTTGATCATTCAATTCACGGTGCAAGGATTTAACAGTATTCCACTACATATGCACTTCTATGGAGCATTTGTTGAAGGGGCTTTAGAGGACTTTTGTCTGTAGATTCACATCTTTATGATCAGTGTGACCGAGTGGGCCTCAAATTAAGAGCTGAAGGCTGAACTTCATGGGAAGCAGAACAAGACAAGGTATTTGGCTATTTAGACCTAACATAAGACTATATATAACATAATCATAAGGGAATAAGGTTTTAAAATGCCAATAAAGGCATTACTCTCTACAAAGTTTGTCAATGCCTGCAGTGTTTGTGTTTCTCACTGTTATAGTTACAGTTACACTGAAACAAGATATAAAATCGATTATCTTCTTCAGGCTGTGAGATGGATGCCCTGGTTTTCAGTTCAATTTATTAAAGAAACGTTATCGTAACTGAGCTCTAACAGCAACACCACACAGTGTGAATCCACATAGCCTACTGTAATACTGAATAGCCTTAGGCCTCTGAAGACAGCTATAGAGAGGCGAAGTCCCTCCCCTTCCGTGAGCCTCCATGGGACCTTATTTCAGAAAATTATGTATTGAAGTCAATGGAGAGAGAAAGATTATCTTTCGATCGTTTGAATTGTGCCACGAATTACACATAGGCCTATGATGTTTGTCAATTTAAAAGATAATTTTGCAAGTAAAAAAAAACAAAAACTGTGAAGTAACAACATGTTTTGTGTGAAACGCTCAATGAACTACATCTCTGGTCTCGCAGACTCTCACAACAACATACGTCACCAAGATGGCCGTCACTACTGTCTTGCCAAAAAAGGGATTGACTACCCTCACTCATGCCCTCACTGTGCAAACTTCCCTGCTTTGGGACGCCCCCAGGCAGTCCAGAGACAGTTACCGGACGCACCCCTCACACTGTAACGTCATTAGTCACGCGCAGCGCGCGACCGGCCATTAACAGACTTTCAGCGAGTGAACGGGTCGTTGTGTGGTTTCCGCGTTGTGCGTGTATGAAACAGTAAGTGTTGCTACTGTGGCACAGAGCCATGTAATAGTAATTCTCTCTATATGGCGCTGGTGTGGCATAAGCACCTGTTTGTATCTATGTGTTTATGTTGCATTTCATATGTAAATAACAGCTAACAGACAATAATCGGCGTAGTATTGTTTACAGTACTTGTTTGCCGTAAGTGTGACTGCCTGTTAAATGTTCAGTAGTTTCACTTTCTGTCCGCTGTGACTGTTGATATAATTATATTTGGTATGTACGATCGCTATATATTTCCAGTCTTGTGCTATTGCGGCGAGCTGTGTATAATTGTATGCCTCTGTCAGACGCCATTACCGCATGTCCAACGTTATCCCCCTGTAAGCCGCCATTATCACGTGTTAAAACCAGTCTATAGGCGCGTTCACACCGCAGTACTTTTCCCACTTTAGTTCCGAAATGTTGCATTGATTAGCCGCATTCACACTGCAGGACTTTCCCTGGTACTTTGGTTCTTTAGTTCCGTTAGTACCATGTATTAGAACGAAATCTAAAATGAAAATTGTAAATAAGCAATCTGTATGTAAAAAAACACCTGTATGTAAATTGTAAATAAGCCATCTGTATGTCAAATATGTCTTATATGCAGTGCTGGAATTGGGCCGGTACTCACCGGTACGCAGTACCGGCACTTCTGGTTCTGACCCATGGAGTACCGGCACTTCTTGCTCAGTACCGGCATGCTGGCGGTACTCCGGTACTCATGCACCGTGCCGGTACTCATGCACCGTGCCAGTACTCAACACTCTCCCGCCGTTCTTATTATACATCCATATATATATATATATATATACAGCCGCCCGGTACTCAGTAGATGCGTCATGAGGTGCCGAACGGACATTCTCATCGCTCTAACCGCTGGAGTTTCACAGCGGCTGTCAGCTGTTTACTCCTGTCATTCAAACAGAACGTGCTGGAGAGGGGGCGGGGCTTATCTTCTCCATGTAAATACTGTGGTGGAAACGACTATGTCAAAATTAACCTATTTGACCGTGATTTAATAGTAATACACGTTTCAAAATAATAATAATAATAATAATAATAATGCCGAAGTAACAACATACTGAAAACTGTTAGTAAAACCATGTTTTAATGCTTTACAATTTACATACCTAGATGCACGTGTGTTGTGTTTATGCAGTGCAACTCCCACCCAGTGGGTGGCTATGTAGAGTGATAGAACAGAGCAGGCACGCCCCCGAGAGAAGGAAAGCAAGTCACGTCACAAATTAGCATTTCTAAAATGTTAGCGTGGATTAATAAAAAAGTGCAAAAAGACAGCGGTTGTCGCCGGAAGAAACTTCAAATACAGAGAATGCTGTGCCTGTGTTGGAAATTGTGTCTGATGGGGAGCTTTCTTTGGTTGATCCTCCTGCTCCAAGTTCTAGTGCATTAGCATTAGCACTAGCTCCGCCGACTCCTCCAGAGCCTCTAACGTTAGCTGCTGCTGGCGCAACTGCCACCACCAACACCGGGCAAAGCGATGCACCTGACTGCTGGACAACGGACCAGGTGCAATATTTTTGCAAGACCAATGCATGGCTCCTTCTTAAAGATAAGAAGCTAGGATGTCGGATATGCAGAGATGTCAAATCTTTGGGAATACACACTGGACAAGGACTGAAACTGTCAACTGAATGGGGTGAGTGTGCAGTGTCTCATTTCGGTGTTGACAAGGGCAAACAACAAGCTAGCCTGAGAAAAAAAATCAAAGAACATAAAGAATCACAAGCCCATGTAAAAGCTGCTGACATCCTTACATCTGCTTCACGTGAAACTATTCAACATCAAGTGCAGTCTATGCATAAATCTGAATTAGACACCACTATCAGAGTTTTTCGAACGGCATATAAAATTGGCCAACATAGCCGGCCATTCACAGACATGCCAATTGATTTGAATGTACAGAAACTGAATGGGCTGAACGTGGGCAGGGTTTTGCACTCCAATAAAACCTGTGGCGAAATCATCGACCACATAGCTCATGAGCTGAAGAAAAAAATGGCAAAAGACATTACAGAAAACCAAAGAAAACTCTGTGTTTTGGTCGATGAATCTACCACTATTAGTGGTAAAACGGTGCTTGTTGTGTGTCTACGCTCAGCATTAGCTGATGCTGAGCCCGAAACGTTTTTTTGGGAGCTGATCGAGTTGGATGGAACAACGGCTGATGACATCACAAAGGCGTTAATGGAGTGTCTTGGAAGAGATTTTAACGAGGACTTTTTAGGTCAGTGTTTCGTTTCTTTTGCATGTGATGGGGCTTCAGTCATGCTAGGGAAGAGAACAGGCGTTGCTACCCAGTTGTGTAGTAAATTCCCAAGCCTGTTTGTGTGGCACTGCTCCAATCATCGTCTAGAGCTGGCAGTTGGGGATGTGGTCAAGGAGGTCTCAGGGCTCAATCATTTCCAGATCTTTTTTGACAAACTCTATTCCTTGTTCCATGCCTCCCCCAAAAATCAGAGGCAGTTAGCGCAGTGTGCGCAAGCAGTCGGACAGCGTCTCCTGGTGATAGGGCGTGTTTTGTCCATCCGCTGGGTGGCTTCAAGTGAAAGGAGCGTCAGAGCAGTCTGGGAAAACTACCGAGTGCTTCATGATCACTTCACAAATGCTACAAACGACACGAGCAGGGATTCCAGAGACAGAGCGAAGTACAAGGGCTTGGATGATGTGCTCACATCTGCAACGTTTGTCAGCAATCTGGGACTGATGTACGATGCGCTCACAGAGCTCAGCGACCTCTCTCGGCAACTCCAAAAAAGAGAGATGACACTGCCTACAGCAGATAGGCTCTTAACTCGAGAAATACGAGTTTTTGAATCCATGGTCACCATGCCTGGCCCACACATGACTACAGTTCATACAGCTCTAGCTGAGAAGTCCTTCAAGGGTGTTGCCCTGCGTGAGAATGGCAGGCTTGTACAGATTCATGCAGGTCAGTTTTTCCGCAGTATGGTAGATAATCTGAGACACAGAATGACTTCCACAACCTCCTCTCATGTCAGCACAAGAGAAATCCCATTACATGGCCGGGAGGCCCGGGACAATCAGCTAATCCAGGACATGAAAGTTATCCATCCTGGAAGTTGGCCTGAAGAGGAGTTAGACGTACAGTATGGGGACGT